CTTCATTTTTTCTTTTCACCCAAAAACCATAAAAGGGAGAACACCAACCTCTCATAGTTCCAGAAACGACAAACTTCTGTTGTCCTAATCACCACTAACCGATGTCGACCACGTCTGCCGACACTATAAAAAAGAGAACTAATTAACGCACCTCCACCCTCTCGTTCTAAATCTAAGACTTATTTTTGTCAAAAACGAGTAAATCGACCTAGATCTAAAGGTTTTACCTTCTATTTTTTTTTTAATTATCGGCTCTGGCGAGAGAACAACCACAATCTTCAAAGGAAAATGGAGGTTTTCTTCCTTCTCACTCTTTCTTTTGTCTTATTTTTCCTTTCAGATGTATTTTTTTTCTCTCTCAATAAATTTTTTTCAAATCCCTAAAAATGGTTTCCTTCCTTCGTTTTATGGTATTGCATGTTGTGTCTCGGGCTTGGTTCTTATGCTGCCAAGAAGATAAGGTATGATTACCCTATTCTCGGTGATTGACAATATTGGATTTGATTTTTTTTTTGTCTCTTATGAGTAAAAAATACATTTAGAAATTTTTACTAATTTTTTTCTTTTTTTGATTGATTGATGTGTTGAGGGTCGGTTGAAACGTTGGCGGTGACACTGGGAGCAGCTGACAGAAATGGCGACGAGACAACTTTGTCCCAAACCGCAACAACAGTGCAGGGACCATGGCAGCGATGGCGCATCAGTCTTAGGGTTAGGATGAAACCCTAGGAATCCATTTCATTTTTACCGTTGGGTTAAGCATAGATCTAACAACTAAGATCATCCTGCGGTTGGGGAGACTAGGGCGAAACCCTAATTTTGTTGGATTACTACATGTAGGATTTAAGGTTTCCAAAGTGTTGGGCTTGATTCTTGAATTGTATTCATGCCTTGAGTTGTAACCTAAAATAATAATAATAATAATAATTAGTAAACGTTATTTTATTTAATACCTAATACATATTTATTACGTTAATTAACATTAACCAGATTGGCCTTTAACTAACATAATTAACAATAATGTACTTAAATGATAACCATCAAATACAAATAATAATTAAATACAAATAATAACAACTTTAAAATAATAATAATAATAATAATAATAATAATAATAATAATAATAATAATAATAATGCTAATATTAAATATCAATCTCGGATAAAATTTGGTGTTTACAGTCACCATGGAACTCGTCACCTCGAGGTGAAGAGTTCGGTCGGATTTTTGAAATTTATAGACGTTTATAGTCGTTTGGGATTGGGGTTATAAATTGGGGTCATCTAAAATTAAAAAAAATGAGAAAAATTCTTACTTTCTGAAAAAAATAACAAAAAATGATTTCCCGAGAAGAAATGTTACGCCTCAATACTGTTCATATTTCGTCGATCAAACTTTGTCCAGAAAAAGAACGAAGCATTCATCAGGGCGGGATGACATCGAGAGATTCGTATGAGTGGATGATGATATATCTTCAGCAATTTGTTATATATCCAACCATATTTTTACGTGGCTTTAAGGTGTACCTGACATTGATTTCAGCTCTAATTGAACGTTGGATGCCCGAGATGTACACTTTTCATTTCCCAAGTGGTGAAGCAACGATTACTTTGGAAGACGTTGCTTACCAACAAGATGTTCATGTCAATGGTGTCATCGTCGTCAGGCGGAATAACTACAACCCCATCGCTTTAGTCCACAAAGTTTTGAGAAGATAGCTACCATCTGAGGTCATGGACGACTATCGGATACAAATGACGTGGTTGGAGTCTGAATTTTAAGTGACAAACGACTCTACCGAGGAGGAGCTTGTTTTTACATCCCGGTCATATCTTCTCCAACTGATCGGAGGGATATCATTATCGAATAAATCTGGCAATTTGGTGCACGCTTAGTATATTCCTTTATTAAATAATTTTGATGAGTCGTAATATCAATTGGGGCTTGGTGATTTTAGGTTTTTTGTACCGAGAGCTTTGCAAGAATGTTATTGTCCAGCAGGGCCGAAAAGTCGGTGTAGCATGCTGTCAAATATTGCTACAGTTTTGGGTTTGGTATCGATTTTTGTTTTTTACGCTAATTGCAACAGCCCCGGTTGAGTTTCCTCTCGTTTGAAGGCAGATCTTTAATCTCACTTTTTAACTAAATTTATTTTTTCTCTTTTTAATTGTTTTTTTATTTTTTAGATAGCGTCATAAAATAACCGAGATGAAGTTGTCGGGTGCTACTAAAAATGATATACGAATGAGGATCAACATCTCTAGTCGATATGCAGTAATATTATTATTATTATTATTATTATTTAGAAATTGTTTAACTTTATATATACTAATTTTTATAATTAATATTTAGAATTTTCTTGGCTTCTGTATTGCAACGAAGAGATCTACCGGCTATTGCCATCGAATTTTTTATGGGACCGATTTATGGTGTGTCGTGACTCTATTATTACTTTTTTATTGTTGAGATGCACGCAATTGGTAGAGTGTTGCAATAATTTGCGTCTCATTAACCAATTCCAACGCAAATATGGGGAGATGGACGCGCTCCATAGAATTGATACGTGTGGGAAACATACCAAAAATTGGCCGAGGAAGCACAATGTCTACATTGAGTAATTGAATTAGTATCACCTATCAATCCCCCGCGTTACGATATTATATCGATCGACCTTGATTTTGACTATTCTCTCTATCTCCAAAATTACGAAGCAAACGAGAAATCATATCTGACGACACCAGAAGAAAAGTGAAAAAGGGAACAATAGAAGGCCACATTTGCCAAGTCGAAGAAATCATCGTCATCTTTTTCTTCTGCTACATCATCTGCATTTGAAGATTACTATCATGTATCTCAGGCTAGTTTTAGTTTCTATATCGCATATCATACTTCAACCGAGAATCAACTAACTTGGGTTGGACCTTCATGAGATGCAATGCAACACACTCAAGCATCTTCAACAGAACATGCGGGTGAGGGTGAATGGGATCATATCATATATAGTCAACAAGGTAGCCAAGTTGATTCAGTAACGACAATGATGGCGTCAAATATCATAAGCCCATCACCGTATTTCGAAGGTGGATCTCATAGTGTGTTAACTACACCTCCTTTTGAACAACCAAACCAAGATGAAGATGAAGATGACGACGAAAATCAAGGCTGACGATCCCAACATACTCGACGAGTTCCATGGTTACCATTTCCATATGACTATTGTTGTTGCCCGTTGACCAACGGCTACTTTTTTTGAATTCAAAAAAACACATCACCTTGACGTGATGAGTTATTGATTTATTTTTAATATTAAAATTATTTTTACAATTTTTATTAAAATATTTTTTAAATAGACTTATCACATCAAGATGACGAGTCACTTTAATTTTGATAAATAAATAGCTCATGTGGGGCCCATTCATCTATATCCATTAAAATAATACATTTCATCGATCTCATCACCTCGTGATGACGAGTTCTGGAATCACTATAGCTTTTCCCGTATTATCCAAAAAAACGTGTGTCTATTGGACTAAATAAAAAACCCGGATAGCCTATTGGGAAAAAATAGATTTTTCTAAATTTCTAGATGGGTCGATCCACTGATTAGGACTTCAAAGTTTAGTTTGATTTGGGATTTTTTTCACTAAGCTCTATTAACGATGCCCTAATAACGGGGAAGTTGAGAATTGAGGGATAGAGCTTGGTCAAAATACCCTACCTGACCCAATCTTTAGCGGCGTTTTTTTTTAAATTTGGCACTCAGGTTTGATAGGATAGATTATATAGTATATTATGTATATAAATATTACTTAATAATTTAATTTTAAAAATGAAAAATTTAATTTTTTTCCGTGTTGTTTGTGAGCTTTTCGAATTAGATATTAAATAATTCAATTCGGTTCGTTAAAATTTTTTGTTTATTTAAATCGAATATTGATAAAATTTTGACTGAATTAAAATTTTGTAACTTATGATTTGTTTCGTCTCAATTACAGTATTATTAAAACACAAAGAAAGAGGGCAGATGTTGAGATTAGCTGGATGATCATTTAAGGGACAAAGATAAATTCGGACAAGAATTCATGTTGATAATTATTTTTTTAATAAATTTATACATCTCATAAATAATTTAATTTTAAATAATAGTACTTAAACTTAAATAAAAATATTGAATTTTTAAAATTATAAAATTTGATGTAAATTATATAAAAAAAGTTTACAAATATATAAACCCATGTCGTCAAAGTACGTGTTATTGTAGACTTCTGAAGAAAAAAAACATGTTTTTTCTACTGCCTACTAATATGATTATATTTGGACTTTATTTGATACATGATTGACCAATAAAAGATTCCCATAATTGATAACGATGTTTTACCCAACCAAACTATTTGAAATACATCCAAGTGAAATTGCTGTTTTCGTCTCTACATTATATTAAAACTTAACAACTTTTTAATAAAAATATTTAAGATATATATTTTAATTTGATATAATTTAATCTTTCTATTTTAATAATATTAGTAATTAATTTAAACTATTAAATTAAAAAAATAGATGAATTAAATTGTAATTTGAGTATAGTGGATGGACTAAATTATAATTTAACCTATACTTCTATCTTTGTAGTTTAGTTGACATATGATTGACTAATTAAAGATAATGATAATGATGTCTTATCGAACCAAACTGAATACATCGATTAGGTCGCTGTAATTGTCAAATGTTTATATTATTTGATTTTTTTATAATAATATTTGTTATATACGTAAATTATAAAATGAATTTAATATTTATATTAGTTTAATTAAAATATTAGTTATATCAATTACATCATTTTTTGAAGTTATTAATTATATTATATATTTTTAAACTTTATCAAAACTTGACTATATTTTAGTTAGGTGAATAGAATATCAAATACAATGATTGGATTATTAAAATATTAATCATATAAAAATTATAAAATACATATTTTATCATGTTTAAGGTATATTTAGAAAATCAGATGAACATAAATCAACGTCTCTGGTTCATAAAAGGAGAAATAAAATAAAACCACACGGGATTAAATCGAAAATAAAAGCCAAGAACCCAACAGCACTGCCTCTCCCCTAGCTCATAACTGCAAGAATGGCTCCCAACACGGGCCAAAATGCTAGCACGAAACCATAATTCATGATGCTAGGGGCTCTGCTAGGCCGTGGTGACGGAGGCGATGGTGTTGAGCTGCCGCCGCTCGGTGTTGTCCCGGGAGTAGTAGGTGAACCGGACGGGGTTGGCGGAGAGTTGCCACCGGCTGCTACCACATTGACCGAAAGTTTCATGCCGCCAGCACAATGTCCTATGGTGGGGCATATGAAGTACATCGGCCCCGAATTTGACAGTGTGATGACTGTGTTTCCGTCATTGTGAGAGCTCAGAGCATTACCGGAATTGCAATTGTCGTAGTCGCTTTTAGATACTACATCGACCGCATGGCTGCCACCGTAATTAAACACTATAATAAAAGAGAGTTGCGTAATCAAAATCGTACAAAAATTCATCAATTATATTTAGGGTAAACTATAAATTCAGTATCTAAACTATTAGTTTTGATCCGTTTTAGTATATAAACTAATTTTTTCAAAACTATACCTAAAATTTAATTTTCATTTCATTTTAGTACCTCGATATTAAAAACTTAACGCATTTAGAGCCCCAAACAATCAATTTTAGTCTGTTTTAGTACCTAAACTTTCAATTTTTCAAAACTTAACATTAAATTTTGAACAATGGCACTAAAATGAAACAAAAGCTAAAGTTTTTAATGGCAGAGTACTAAAATGAAACAAAACCTAAAGTTTTTAACGCAAAATTAAAATGAAACAAAACTTAAACTTTAAGTATGGTTTTGAAAAAAATTAAAAGTTTAGATACTAAACACATAATTTACCCTTATATTTAACTTAATAATACATTTATATATCATACGAATACTTTAACGACTACCCACAAGATAATGTGAAAGTTCACGCTATCACTATAACAACTACAAATAAAAAAGTTATCAATTTAGATATACTATGAAAGGACCATAAAATGTCAAATTAAAAATAAAAAGATTAAACCCGAAATTTTATCATATTAAAAGGACTACAATCATAACTAAACCGATTAATTATAGGCATAATGTCGAAAAATCCCCTAACATTTAGTGAAATAATCATATAAGTCCCTATTTTTTTGGAGTATTTTGGTTTCAAATGTTTTATTTTATGATTAAAAGGCTCCTAACATTTCACTAAATAGTCACTTTAATCCTTATTCTTTATTTTTAGAGCATTTTGATCGTCAATGTTTCATTTTAAAGAAAACGTTTCATATTTTAGAGCATTAATAGTTTGTTGACTAATGATTTTCAACCACAAAGGGGTCACTTTATCCTAAAATGAAATAGTGAGGGTCAAGATGCTCTAAAAATAGTAGGAATCAAAGTGATTACTTAATTGGGACATTATTTCTTAATTAAATTCTAGTATATGTTCTAATAATGGCAGATGCATTAAGGGCCGAGGGTGGGCACGTGCCTACCATAAAATTCGAGTTTCCTTCAATTAGTGACCTATTTTATTGATAGTGCCCACCTTGAAAATTTATTGTGCCCACCCTAAAATCTGAATTTTCTTCGATAGAAACTTACAAAGCGTGTCACCAACTGTGAATGTCTTCCCTTGAACCCAACCCTCGTAATCTCCGGTGGTGGTCCAACCAACACTGTCTCCGACTATATATTGGACGGCGTGAGCTGCCGGAGCTGCAAGGAGGAGGAGGAGGAAAGCTGCTGTAAAACCCATGTGTAAATTTCAAAGCGTAGTTTACTTAAAGAAGGAACAAAAGTGAAGGGACAATTAGCACGTTATAATGTTATATAGAAGACACAAGCAAATTTTGGACAATAACTTATAGAAGCAAAAATCAAGCAATTTCTGTTTTATTCCTACTAAGACCAATAATTCACGTAACAGCTTAAACTAATATTCTCCCGTTATGGGGTCCTTCACCAAATCAATTTGAATATGTATATAAACACACCTTTTTTTTTTCAATTAGACCCTTAATTGACCTGGTTGAGATTAATTCAGATTAAACTAGTATATATTTAAAAATTTTGAGTACATTCAATTCATGTTAATTTTAAATTGGGATCATTTTATGTTCATTTTATTATAGGTTTATATTAAAATAATATATATAGGTGCATTTTCTCTTTTGATTCCAATAAAAAAGAAAACGGAATTGTCTTGATAGGTTAGGCCAGCAGCCCCTATTTCTTTTTATAATATTTGATTTCTGAAATTATTGGATTAATGGGTGTTGTTTATTTGGATTCCTTCCTTGTTTAACATGTCTCTTTACTGAGAGTCAAAAGTTTCATATTAAACTAAGCATAGAATCTTCGGCCATACGATACATTTGACATAACCCTAAACAAAACAGGTTCATGATGATGTCATGTTGTCCAAATTGAATCACAATCGAATTACTCAAATAATCATTTTCTCAATTTAATAATAATTATATCAAATTTTTCATTATTATTGGAACTGTTACAATTAAACCGATCAAACTTTTGATGTCTGATTCAACGAATCAATTCGATTTGACTTTTTTAATAATTTAAAGTTATTATAAAATAATATATGTTCAGAATTTTTTTAAAAATTAACAAAAACATATATATGGGCACATGCAATTTGCTTGAATCAAAGACTTTTTAAAGACAATAATGAAGTTAAAAAATTTATTTTTGGATGTCAAATTTTTAAATTGAACGAAATATTTTTTAAGTAGATGAAAATGAATAATGGGTGTCAATTTATGTTAAACGATGTCAATATCCTTTTTTTTTAAAAATATATTATTTTATATTTTAAAAAAAATTATATTAAATTTATCAAAAAAATTCAAAAAGTTTTGGAGTGTCGTATGACATTCCTCATTATAAACTATTTTACGTCAGTGTTTAAATAAAACAACACTCACTTTAATTATTAAAATCAATTCATTTTGATTCTAATAACAGTAAATTGATATAATATTTATATAACAATATCATATCTTAATCAAAAACCTAACCCCTTGGCCATGACATCAGCAACCTAATGAGGCCAATCAATTCAAACATTTAATATTGTTATTATTTTTATATACATTCATCATCTCTTTCCTAATACATGTATGGATTGGTTAGGCAATTGCATGATGGATTAACCATATCTGCATTATCTTATTCTGAAAATGTTGGAGTTGGTGGAGACGTGGAGATGGTAAAGCATGCCCTTTCTTTTGAGCTAATCAAACCCACCTAAGAGAAGTTTTCCTAATTCAAAGTTTTTGGCCAAACTTTATAGAAAACCCTATGTAGATTATATGGCTATGTTGATTTGGTCCTAATGGCCAATTTCTTCTACCTTTTGCCTAATGAATTTAGAATTTAAGGTGTAGAAGTAATTGGTTTGGTAGATAAATTTCATGGTTATTGTAGTATCTTCAAAGAAAATCTTTCGAAGATTATCAACTTTACATTAATTAAGATCTTCATAAAGACCTTTCTGCTTATAGAGTTCCTAAAGAATTCATAACTCTTGAATTAACTAGATTGCATTGACAAGACTACCTCCATCAGGCTCACGTAATCTATCAAGTGAAATATGAGATCTACTTAGTCAAATAATTACCTTATGTTTGACACCTCCTTCTAGGATTATAATAAAAACCTTTCAGCCAACCCAACCTTCTTTTGGGATTCTTTCACCTTCAACATTGAACAATCTCCTCCCTAGGTCATTTCTCTTCTTCTTTATCTTATAGAGAATCGTCAGCCAATAATTGTTTTTTCACCGTCTATAATTTTTTACCCAAATTAAAAAGATGAACCACTAAAGAACAACATAACCTATTTGTTCTATCCTCAACTGTTACGATGGGAAGGCTTTGTCTAATATAAGATGGTAATTTGCATTGTAACAAAAGAAAAGGGCATTTTACATTTTGATTCAATAAATTCAGTATCAATAAATCTGTAATTATTAATGCAATATTTTTTGAAGAAAAATTCAATCAAGAAATTATATTATATGCAAATATATAAGTAGGAGAGTGTAGAAATCGATGCTGTTAAATTAACATTGCCAAATCTTCTCTCTGATATGAAATTGGAGAGCATTATAAGATATCACATTATTTGATTGAATCCTTGTTTAAAATGGTGTGTTTCAAACGATTGGTAGCAACAGCATGGTGTTGAAGGGAGAGGACGGCTGGACCAAATTAAAAAAATTTGTAAATTTGGAGGCTAAATATGTCAAATTACTTAAAATTAGGACTACACTTGTTAAATGTGTAAATATAAATAACTAATTGTGTTATTATTTGATCAACAAGCAAACAATCATACACTGCACAAAGCCTTCACGTTAACAAGTGTGTAGAAACTAGAAATGAATGATATCCTCTACTTATGAGGTTTTGTCCAATAAGAAATAAGGTCTGCAACTAAAGAAACACTTGAATCTTACACAACCGTGCCGCCACCCGCAGCAGCGTAATGCAGAAGAAACAGAGCTTCCTACTTCGACATTTGACATTCTAGGAAGAGCAGCAGCCACTCTTTTGTTCAACAGGCCGTCCTCGGATCTGTACCGTAGGAGGCCTAGCATTGTTCATGGCGGGTTGGCTAGCCATTCTGCATTTAGAGGCAATTTTTAATAAGCGACACGAAAGTATACACAATCAATACGAACCAAGACTTTGTGGTAAAATATCATAGAACTGCGTTTATTGATATAATCTTTCTTGTATAATAAGGAAATGACCATCCAGCTCAATTGGTAGAGCACAAGGTTCTTAATCTTGAGGTCGTGGGATCGAGTCCCATGGAGGGCATTTTATAATTTGGAGGTCTCCTACGGAAGCTGCTCTCAACCTAGTGTTGGGGGCAGCCTACTATCTTACCTCCCCTTACCCCATTACATATGGGAACAAGGGACAACCATTTTTCTTGTATAATAAGATTGAACAATAAACCTACCCGGCCTGAAAATGCCATTCAACAGCACATTGTTCTACAAACCACCAACTTTTTTAGCCTAATTGTATTAGTATTCAAATAACTAAAAGATTACAAGAGCTCCAAATTGAGAAGTAGGGTCATTTTTCAGTTGGCACAGTTCGTAATTTGAAATATTCGGGTTGTTTCACGTTCGACTCAATGTCAGGTTTGAGTCATTTTAGGTTACAACACTTGAGTTCGGATCATTTTCAGGCTTCTTGTTCAGGCCATTTCGAATTCATATCATTTTGGATTCGAGTCATTTCAGGTTCAAGTTGTTGACTTTTTATAGTCAAATCAGGATAGATCGGATTTAGAATTGGGTTAATTGGGTTGAATTTTATGGTTCCAGTCAGTCTAGATATTATAACTAAAACCATTTAGGAAAATGAGTATGGATACCTGTCCTTGATGGAAGCAGCCATGGCCATGAAAGCCTGTTCCACATTAGTGGCATCTTTTGCACTAGTTTCCAAGAAAGGTATGCCAACTTCATCTGCAAGTGCCTGAAAGTAGAAAAACATATATATGGAGAAGGGTAATAAACTTGCTATAAATTAAAGACCAAATTTATGCTTTTACATGTGAACAATCAAATACCTTGCCTGCTTCGAATGACACAACTTTATTTGCTGTAAGATCACACTTGTTTCCAACCAGTAGTTTGTTAACATTGTCACTAGCATAATGATCAATTTCACTCAGCCACTGCTCGACATTATTGAAGCTTTCTTGGTCTGTCACATCATAAACAATCTAATACAGGAGCCACGGGTAAAAGGGGAAAATTGACATTAAAATTTAAATATATATATATATATATGAGAAGTGGAGAAATAAAATAAGCAAAGGTAGAAAATGCAGAAAGGAAACGATCACCCACTATTATCCCATGAGCCCCACGGTAGTAGCTGCTAGTGATTGTCCTAAATCGTTCTTGTCCAGCAGTGTCCCACTGAACATTCAATAAAGAGAAAATTAACTAGTTAACGCTAAAAGGCCAAGATTGCTAAGCGTTAAGGATTACGAGCAACTTTGAAGGACTATATTAATAAAATGAGAACATACAAAAGGAAAAGAGAAATCAGCCAATGAGGAAAAGGCAGATGAGCAGACAATTCATTCTCCTACAATAAATATTACCTGAATGAACCTACGATAGAAATTATTCAAACAAATGAATAAAAGAAAAGGCAGCACAGCATGCAAAAACATACAATTTGAAGTTTAATGGTCTTCCCATCCTGCTCCACAGTGCGGATTTTCTACCAAAAAATTAGAATAATTGCTATAAATCTTGGAACTTGAAAGTCAACACTAGGGACTGTTTACTCACAAAATCAACACCAATAGTGCTTATGTAGCTTTCTACATATGAATCATCCTGCATTAAAAAAATTACATAATGATCAGTAACAAGGTTCAGGTCTGCACGGCCATCTGAAAGCATACGGATGTTTTGATGTCTCCAATATAAAACTATTCTCCTACCAAAAATGTGCTCCATCCAAATCATAAAAATAGTCATATGCAACGGAACTTATTAAACGTGAATATAACGATTAAAGGCAATCATATGAACATCCAGAACGTGCAAGTGCAACAGAAGTCTAAGAAGCAAAGAGATATACTTCATGCCGGTTTAAGTCGGGAAACTTACAGCAAATCTCAAAAGAAGACAAGATTTCCCAACACCTGAATCTCCAATAAGCAGTAGCTTGAACAGATAGTCACTGCAAAAATGTGCAACCAGATAATATTACATACTTCTCAATGATGTAAGAACATAACATCTCCAATTATACCATGCATAACATAAAGTTGATTTCTATAATCGAGGCCAACTCAGAACACCAAATTGCTTCCCCGAATATTAACCCTAAAAAGTTCTAAGCCAACTTTTAGTTGAATTCTTAATTTTGGCTGGTGAATCAAATTAAAATGCAATGCATTCAAATTCGAGTTAGATTTGCTTCCCCATCACAAATAATTGATTTGGCAACACACGTTTAAATATCACATATCTGATTCCTTTGGGACAGACTAGAAGACATCAAAACTTACTAAATATATTTTATTCTATTGAGAATCCATTTCCAGCCAAAATCAATTAAAGTTTTAACGTCACGTAAATAACATTAAAGGCTTGAATAATTGAAGAACACACCAAAGCCCGCATCCTTTGTTTTAACTAAATTCCACAGATGAATTCCAACGAGGAAAAAACATCTCAATTCTATCAACAGATCTAAAGCAAAATCCCATCACTTTTAACACCGACAATTATTGGTTCAAATAAAATTTTATGAAATTTTCGAAACAGAGTCACAAATCGTAAAAAAAAAAAGAGGATAAATAAATTAAAATATAGGATTATTAGAAGAACATATCAATACAAGTAAAAATACTATTAAAATACGAAATAAGAGACAACTTACTATTCAGGATTCATTGTAGGGTGAGGAAAGAAGAAAGATCAGAGGATGGGGCGGTCAAAATCCAAATGAAACTTTCCGGCGACAGATCGACGGGATCTCACACTGATTCGCCGGAAAGCTCCGCCTGAGGGAAGATGAAGAAAAAGGGAAAACGGCAGAGATGAGATGACACGCAACGGCAATCCTTGGTTTGGTTTTTTTAAAGAAATTTCCATCTGGAATTTGGAATTTGGAATAATGGATCTGATAAAGCTCCAGTTTTGAGGCTTGAGCTTGCAAGTCTTTTCACTACCGGTCTAATTCCCATTTTAGTCCCTCTGTGATACCAAAATTTGAAATTAAACTTTAGTTTAACATTTTAAAGAAATTTAACATATTTTAATATTCCTACTTTTATGGTGAATTTCATTTTTGAACGCTATAAATGAAGTAATTATTCGATCGAGTCGAGTTAAAGATTTTAAGTTAATTGAATTGACAAGTTTTATTTTAAATTAATCTGACTGTATCATTTCTCATACTATTTTCATATTAATAATTAATCTTTCAACTTAAATTACTGAAAATTATACCAATAAAATTTAAGAAAAAATTATTTTAGGTAAGAATTGAAACATGTTATAGAATCTACAAGCATTTGTCTGTTTTTTTTATCTTGATTCTTTGTCCTCAAGCCTTTTTGGTTAATTATAAACTAAATTAAAAGAATTAGTCAATCAAATTATTTAAAATGTAGATTTGTATTATAAATAAATACTTAAAGTATGTCATTTTTCATCTAAATATCTAAAATATTCTTATCAAAATAAATACGTGAATTTATCTTTTTGACTAAAATAAGTGCTTAAATATTTTATAGTCAAAATAGGTACCTAACAATATTTTTGTGTGTGGTTAAAATAGGTACATCAAGTGTTCAATTCCTAAAATATTCTTTAATTAATGATAGGTGTCAACTTAAAATTAGATGAAAAAATTAAATATTTTAGATACTTATTTTAATAAAAAATATATTTAAAGTACCTATTATCACCAAAAAGATAACTTTAGATTTATTTTAACGAGAAAAATAATTTAGATGCTTGAATGAAAAAGATAATATGTACTTATTTGTGATATAAGCCAAAACTATACATGATCCAGCAGTAAGAAGAGGATCTTCAAAACGCCCGAAATTGTCTAAGATATATATTAACATAATATTGGAGAGAAGACCCAACAAACTAAATAATGTGGATATTGTAAAAACCTAAATCAAAATAATATATACTTCTATTTTAATATCTCACAACCTCGAACCATAATCATTAATTCTTATTGTTTGTAATTTTTGTTCTCTAACAATAACTAATTTTTTTCATTTTAATTTTTCTTAACATTTATTATCTTCATATAAAAGGATTGTATTATATATAAACAACATAAATTCATATTTAAAACTAAACCACAAATCCTAAACCATTACTTCCAAATGATAGATTTGCTTTTAGGTAACTGACTGATCTTGGTCTTTCTATAATTCTTTCATCAAGGTGATAAGTGAATCTGGTATTGCTGTTACGATTGGTCATCGCGTTTAAACTGGCAGATAGAAGGAATTAGGTTCATGTCAAATTGGACCCCAGATGTTTCTAGTTCATCATTAGTTGATGGAATTGAGAGTGTCACATTTGATAAATCGATGTCATTGTTTAGAAACAAGAGATGACTTGATTTTCTTAGTTTTTTTTTTAGCTCTTCTCCTTTTTTACCTAGTCTAGTTTGCCATCTGGGGAACTCCAATCTGAAAGGTTTGGAGGCATTGTGCCCACTAGAGATGCTGGTGCTAAATGATGATTTACAGTATGGTGTTCGATAACACTTGAAGGAATTGCACCTACTGGAGATGCTAATACCATGAATGACGTCTACGTTAGCTGGTTACGCCCAAGTAGAATGACGTCTAGGTGCCGTGAAGCATGTGGGGTAAGCGGAAGCATGAGAAGTTCAATCAACATTTACTTTATATTATAGTGGATGAGGCTTTAATCCGAGCATTTGTATAGTTCTAAAATCCACGGTACAACTGCTTCACACTCAACAAGAAAAACATGACACTCACTATCGAGGAAAACACGACTTCAATACACTATAAGGGTCTAGATAGATCGAATCCATTTAAAACCTGACAAAGATTGCGAGAGTAGATCAAGTCAAATAAAAAGATAGGATTAAAATTTTCTCTCCAAATGCACAAGGAAACAAGAAAACATTGAACGTGAAGTCTTGAAAAACATAAAGTGATACAAGAAAAAGACAAGTGAACTTCAGATAGTCTCATACGATGGAGGATAGCAGTGTCCCTTTTGATGAGAACAAGCTTCACAAAAATGAAGGTAAGTGATGCAGTCGTCTAGGAGTTCCTAGATCAAGTTCACAAAACAGCTCATCACTTGAAAAGACTAGGCAATATAAACTGGGACAGTAAAACAGGGTACTCGACCAATGACCAGTGAAGTAAGGAGACTTTTCAACCTGCTTAAAACCATTCAAAGTTTAGAAGATCTAGCTCGAGCGTACCTCTAAAATGTTTTTGGTCTCATTGTAATAACACTTTTGTCCAAATGAAGGTTATTTATTATAAATTGACACTTTTAGATCAATGTCTCGAAATCTTTATGCATTAATAATACATTTTGCATTTTAATTTCACTTAACTTTTAATCAACATTCATTATACATAAGTAACTAATGAAGAGCACTTTTTCGTGAAAGGAACAAGCACTAGACTCATTACATCCCCACATCACTCGATCCAAAACAAAGCAAATGGAACAAAGATTTGGTATTCAGAAGATGGTATGTTATATGATCTAGAATCAAAAGACCGTTCTGGATTCCATCACGTAAGGTCATGTTTCTATGACTAGTCGAATAATCGAAGAATTAGCTAGACTGAATTTCGCAAACATCTCTGGGGTAGAGATTTCTGAAGGAGCAATGGGCAACCAACATCAAAGCTGGTAATCATGGCTGGAACGTACATGGGAACCCTATGAGGTTCTGTAAAAAACCTGAATATTAATGCCATAATGAAAGATAACATGGAAGGGATTGATAGATATGGAATCTGTTCATTACCACGGGGTTCGTTCTTAACAACTAGACTACTGAAGAATCACTTGTAGTTTTCAAATCTTTTTCTAATACCTTAACTTTCCTTAATTTCTCATACCTAAAGCAATATGTTAATATTTTTTCAGGTTGAATAAATTGCACTTATTTATTTTCAATAAAGGATGCATTCCATTTTTTTATATGACGAACGTTTTCTCCATCTATTTTCTTAATCCTTTGTGTATATATATATATATATATATATATATATATATATATATATATATATATATATATATATATATATATATATATATATATATATATATATATTATTTGTTTATACTTTTTATGTGAGATAGTTTATTTCCCCTGTATATGTATATATCTCCCCCCACTTTTCTTCAGGTAACTATATATTAATGGTATGGATAACAATGACTTTGACCCAAAGATTGATTTCGAGCTATTAATGAGTGTGACAAGGAAGAAGAATGCGAGTTACCTTCCGAGTTATTAAAAATGGTGGAAATCGAGGATAAACATATTATGCCCCATAAAAAAAAGATCAAAGTCTTGGGATCTGAGGAAGAAATGAACGAGGTTAAGATCGATACAACTCTTTCTACTGAAGCACGACGAAGTTTGATCGATTTACTCCAAGAATACAAAGATGTGTTCGCATGGACGTATCGAGATATGTCAAAGCTAGAAACAAACATGGTAGTTCATAAACTACTAATTAGGCCAGAATCAAGTCAGTGTAGCAAAAACTTAAATGAATGAGACCTGAAGTGCTTTGGTGGCAAACATCGAAATGGTGACCTTCATATCACACCATCCATATGACATTGAATAAGAAGACAATATAGGAAAAATAAACTCAAACGATGGGGCAAAATTCAAAAAGAACAAAAAATCAGAAAATAAAAAAAGGAAAAAGAATCACCTATTAATGACTTTTTTTGAATAAAAGATTAATTATGAACACCTATCCCTTTGAGGATATATCTTTCACAAAGAACTTTATGTATGAAATGATGAAGATAATCAAGGATCACTCCCCACACTAGGGGGCAAGGTGAAAGAAAATATGTTCACATGAGTGAAGATAATCAACGACAAAATACCATAAGGATGGTCGAATGTGATATGTTTCAAATCAAGAGTGATAAAATATTCAACTTGTGCTTGCAAAGTTAAGATCTCGAATTCAAACAAAGAGAGCAAAAAGGGGAACATGTAAAGACTTTCACAAATAAAGCGATCTCAAACCACGGCGTTTGTCAAATGAAATTGGTTCTAAAATCTAGATTGTCAAATGAAGGATCTCTAGGGTGAAAACCCACAAATGGATAGTCTGGAGGGATAAAGAAGAAGAAGAAAATAAATGATGAAGCAGATTCAAGGGGAAATGAACAAATGCTTTGATCCTTGGTTTAATCACCCTTAAACACATGTTTGAGCCTATGTATCCCTTTCTTTCATAACAATGGGACCAAGCTTACATTACGTGCCTAAAAATTCCTTTCTAACCATACACGAATTTCTGAGTGAAAGAGATTATCTTCATATTTCTCCCGCACATCAGGGTTAATCTTTTATTTCCAATTTTTTTCTAAAACTTTAATGCATGATTTGGAAAAATGAAAGAACAATAAAGGAGGGTTCAATATGAAAACCTAGAAAGGCATCTTGAAATCAAGAGAGGTCTCAAATTGAAAACCCACAAAGGGAGACTTAAGTAACGAGTCAAGATTCACACACGGGGAAGTCTTGAATCGACACAATATTATCATCAAAGGCATCATATCGAAATTGAATGCAACTAGATATTCAATTACGACATTAATAAAAGCTTGATGATTTGGAGAGAATTTTGTACACTTCAAGGTTATGACATATCAGTTCAAAGGAATCCATATCATTGATATCTGGGGCACTTATTTTTTTCTTATATGATTTTCTTTCAAATGTTTTTCATTTACTTATAAAAAAATTCATTTCAATCATATAATTAAAAAAAATATTTTTGATAAGACAAA